ATACGTTGAATATTATTTATGATTTTAACTTTATACACAAGTGCCAAAATACTATAATAGGTAGTTAATGTTGTTTAAAAGTTCAGCGCTAGTTAGCGGTCAGGCAAAAAGAGAGAGAGAGAGGTTTGGTAATACTACTGGAGACATCTCGACCAAAGTGATCTGTTATATGGCAACTTTTGTGTTGTATGGTGTGGTCGTCCACCGGAAGTCAATGGACGAACAGCATGAAATAGCCGGAAGTAACAAGGCCGCGCGATCTACAGGAGTCACGCTCCTAACGACGAGTACCCTAATGACAAGTTGCGTGTCTGTAGGGCATGGCGCTGCGTTAATTTGATCACAGACATAAAATAAAAAGTTACCTACTCTCGTGCTATTGGAGAAGCTCACACAACAGTACATCTAGCTCATAAGTACAGAACCGCGTCAAACCATAAACGTTCGACACGAGTACATCCAAGCCGCTACAGTGTGCGCTCAATGCATAACGCTTACTCTGTCCAACGTGCTTCACATGCGAGAGAAGACCATCCATAAATGCCACCAATATATAATAGTAACGTAAAACACGCACGTTAATAACTCTAAGTAAATATATAACTGTCATACAACCATTCACTCTATATATACAACATTATAACAGCACCTTAAATTCAAGTTATATGCTTTCAAACTGAATAACTTTTTTCACTCTGTTTTCGTGAGCTCTGGAACTAGTGTAATAGTTCACAACAACAGTTTCCTTTTAAATAGCATATTAAATTTTTATTACAAAAACAATGTTTAACCTAAACTTTTCAACGTAATCTTTACTCCTCTAAAGAACATTTTGACATTGAACAACATTGTTCTATGTCATATTCTCGAACAATTATAACATCTTTAAGATTTTTCTTTTAAATTATCCTCTCATTTCCTATTAAGCATTTTGAAATCTGAGGGCATTTAAACTTCTAACCAGGCCAAAACAAGATAAAATTCGTGTTCCAAAATCTTTCACACTAGTTTCAATTTCACGCATATTTTAATGTTTCCGTTATGTAGTTGTCTTGGAAACCACAATCCAGATAATGTTGGTTGGATCCTACTTCTTGCGTGATAAGTTTGGTTTCTTGTTTTCTCAGTCATCGTCTAATTGCTTTTACACTCACACACAAACATATACATATATGTATATATATATATATCCTACTGTTTTTTTACATGTGTTTTGCATTTCTTTAAAATTACAAAATTGTTTTGTAATATACGTTTTGTATTTTAAAACATAGTATTTTTATTTTTCATGAGTTACATAACTTAATAATTGTGTGTTTCACTTTAAGTTTATTTTGTGCCAGCTTTAAAGTTTAAAAAACTTTATTTTATATAGAGCTCTCTTTTTATTCAAATATGAGATATATACACTGAGGTATTCTACAGTTTATATTCTATATACATACCACTTGGATATAATAGTTTCACAGCTTATTCTAGTTGTGAAAGATGCGTTCAATGTTTAAATACACAATTCAAAAGCCTGTTTTTATCGACAAACTATGAAAATATTTCATCAGGCACAAATAAGTAATGAATATTTTGGATAAAAGCATTCTAGTTTATAAAAGCATGCAAACTAAAGCATCACTTCCCAGTGAATTCATTTTTACTGCATTACAAGCCAGTAATATGTATTTGTTAGTTCTACAAACTTCCTTTCCTTCTTAAACATTTGTTTCTGTAACGAGATAACTATTTCACGTTTTAAGTCTCTTTAAAGACCAAACTAGATCATACGTATACAATATTTACAGTGATTTCATGTAAAAGTGCATTTAAGAAGGAAGTGAATTGAAATCATTTATTAATGTTATTAACATTGAAGAGTTATAGAAGAGTTCCAAAGAAATATTTTTAAATTCAAGAATAGCAAAAAAGTCTTTGAAAGTAAAGTTTTAGCTATGTAAATGTTTCTGAAATGGTGTGTTAAGACAACTGATAATTAAGGACTTTGGAACAATCGACGTTTAAAGTTAATGTTAAACGTAAGTCGACCTATTCAGTATTAATTTACTAAATATATGGAAGACACAGCAGTTAAAAACTACAACTGTTTTGTTTCAATGACACCTTCATTTCAGGCAACCTATATTTGTACTACCGGACGTACTAATGGTTGTAGGCGGAGCTTGGCGTTTTGCCATATAGAACCAAGAAGAGCGGGTTGTCATGACAATAAGCACCGAGATTTGTCACCGATTGAATTTCAGGTAAATAAGTTTGGATACCAGACAAAGACAAACAGTAAAGGTAGATAGAATACTGGTTTCTTGGGGGAGGAGATTTCTCTGAAAACATTGATGCATGTGGTGCGTGCATGATTTCCGCACGTGCCACACTCAAAAGTCCAATCGACGCGATCTTGACAATCGTTTCATTATATGTTAACTTTCTGTAGCAGCCCATACATCTTGAACTCCCATAACGAACGTTTCAAATGACGTCCCTAAAAGTTTTGCAATGCTGCAACCATTAGCACGTGGAAACACCGCTGCAACACGTGTCTGGAACCACGCGAGGCTGATTTGACTCAAAATTATCAGTTACCCCTCTCTCTCTTTGTTTTTTAGTACTGCTGCCTACGAAAGCAAGACACTTTTAAAAACAAACCAGGTATAAAGCATGTCTTGCACGCTATCTTCCGTGTGTAGCCTTCTAACAAAGAAATGTTGTTAATTCAGCTTCGATGATAACATATGGCATTAATGGATGGAGTAGTTCTATTTACAATATATCTTTGTGTTGCTGCTGCATAAAACAGTCTTTGTTGTTTTTGGCTCTACGCGCCTAGTCAACTGCACGACTTGTAATCGTTGAGATATACACACAAAGCAATTTGCATAAACTAGTTGCATTGAAACTTTTCGGTGTGTTAAAAAAAGCTACCCAGCTTCGTAAGTACCCCGCTTAAGTTCGGCAGAAAGATGTTGTTATTGACGTCACGTGACACTCACTGTCGATGTGAATGACAGAATTGTGAGTTCTTTATGAGATTTTGATTAATAACAGCCGTGCATAACAAACAGGAAAACAATTTTATTTATGGACGATCCGTAAGAAGTTCTGTAAAATCCATTTGGAAAGCGAACGCGAATATTTCAAACATGTTTTAATTTTTTTGGGGGGAATTTTGTGTACATAAGAGAAACGCCGTTTCGAAAAATCGAAACTTGCTTGCTATAAACATTCTTCCAGAATTTGACGAGTGAATCTTAATAGCTGATAAATTTTGTGCAGTTGAAATTACAAAATGGCGATTCTAAAACGTTGGTAGAAATCTTTTAATTTCTTACTTTATATCTTGCAAGATCCTGTAAATGACAACCTATGGTTCATCGTATCTTAATCAAACTTTATTAAAGATATAATCGAAATTTATCGAAACAATATTGCTAAATGTATAATAACAAAACTTAAAATCCCAGTTACGCAACTATCAATGATCTGTTTAAGGGTGGTTCTAAATTTTCCTTTTACTCAGAATTGTTTAACTAACGTGTTCTAGAATTGACTAAATCAGCGCTAACTGGTTTGATATCGTATGAAAAGTTTTTATAGCCTTCTCGTGTGTTTAATAGGTACCTGCATTCGTTCATGTGGCTTTGTTCGAATATCGCGTAAAGCTACTCGAAGACTATCCAGTACTAGCCGTCTCTAATTCTGAAGTAACAAACTAGAGGAAAAGCAGCTAGGTAACACCATCCACTACCAGTTCTTGGGGTACTCTTTTGTAAACAAATAGTGGGGTTTACAATCACATTATAAAGCCCCTTCGGCTGAAAGAGAGAGAACATGTTCGGTGACGAGGTTCGATCCCGTGATACGCAGATTACAAGTCGAATGCCATAACCACCAGGCCTTCAAGTGGCTGACTGGTAAGACTCGTTCTGTAACATATTAACAGTGGATGTAAACAATAAGGGGTCTGAACTCTAGGTTATGTACACACTAATTTAGAAGTAAACTTTACCGAAAACAACTTATTGTTTCGTCTACTTTCTTTCTTTGTTTTTCTTCTTCTAAACACTTTTCAATCGACCGCCATTCCTTCATTTCTCGGTGGATTGACTTGAAATTTGACCTTGGTCCAATACGTCCAGAAATCTTTTTCATTTTGAATTTTAGGCATTTTTAAGGATTTTATGGAGCCAAGGATGAAACAAGCCAAACATGTATAATTTGGGTTTCTGTGCGGTCATACTTACAGCAATCAAGATACAAATTGGCATACAAAAATGTTGGATTTGCCCATTTTGCATATGTTGTGGGTTTTTTGGTCAATTATTCGACCATATTTTGACCAATCTACATGTGATTGATACAAAGATACTTTTCTACACATCTCACACACTAATAAACAAAAATGGTGGACACTTTTAGTAATTATAGGGAGTCAAGATGCCACAAAAAGCATAATGATACTGTTACGACAGCGGAAGTCACGCGATGCTGGGAGCATGCGCGCTGGAGTTTCTAGAAGGATCATTTTTTTACAGATTCTTTTTACAGGTCTCATACATATATATGTACAAAAATGTGGGATATGCCCATTTTTACTTTCCCCCTTTTTCGACCAATTTACATGGAATTTGGTACAAAGAGATTTTTCTACAAGCAGCGATATAGACAGTGTTTGATTTTTTTGTGTTTTTCGCGATTTTTCTTTTGGCAAAATTGGCCATGTTGGGATTCCGTGGCGGAGACATGTTACATTCGCCCGCGAATATTGGTCTCTTTAATTGTTAGTTGTTTCGCTTTGTGTATTAACAATTATATGCAAATTGAATGTTCCTCATCATCTCTTAAAGTTTGTATTATACGTTTGCAGTTTTATTTATCTTCCGTGATTTGAACAGAGTAGAAATGAAAAAATTTTGTTGAAAAACAAACGTCCGTGACAAACGAGTGTCTATATGACACTGCCTCCGCACATTCTCGCCCTGTCAGACGTGGAGATGTTTATAATGTTACGGTCAATCACACTATTTGTTAGTGAAGAGTAGCCCAAAATTTGGCAGTGGATCGTGTTGACTAGCTTCCTTCTCTTTAGTCTATCACTTCAAAATTAGGGACGACTAGCGCAGATAGTCCTCGAGTAGGTTTACATAAAGGTCAACAAACAAAAAAAAACAAATATGACACTGCCACGCTATACAAAAAAATATCAGTTGTAGTAAGCACTTTTATTCGATTAGATAAGAGAAGCCCAAGGGATGGCGAAGGATGCTGTTGACTAGCTAGCTTCAATGTTGTCTATTAGTTAAAATTAAGAACCGTCTTGCATAGATAGCCCTTGTGTAGTTTTGAGCAAAACAATGAATTAGATATACAGATACTTGTTGTTAAAAATTAAATTAATATAAGAATTTCAACAAGTAATGTGATTCCTCACCGTTTTCTAATAAACTAAAAAAATTATTTTAAATGGTAATGGGAGACACTTTAACAGAGGAAACGTGACTACTTCTACGTTTGTATTTTTTTATATATTAACACGCTGTATAAATGTAAATTTCTTTACAGTTAAAAGTGAAGTTTGTACACACACACACACACACACATATATATATATATATATATCATTGTGTGTGGCAGACCTCTTATATTGAGTCTTTTGTCTCCACTTTGGCTAATAGAAACTAAGTAGTTTTCTTTCTCTGCTATTAAGGATCGTATAAGATGAAAACAAATAGTAAACAAAACTGGCATTAAGAAAATGGTATGATACAAAAAACTAAAGAACACTTTAGAATTATGAACAAAAGTTCTAACCACCTGTGCAGAGTTTTATACTCCCAGATTATTGTAAATTGTCGCGTTTCTACTACATCTGTTCGCCAAACAAACAGGTCCTTACAAGGCCCTCAACGGCATCTGTTTGACGATGCATTAGAGAGCTTCCTGACAGCCGTCCATGTATGTTTACCTAGGTCTCAGCTACGTTCCAGTTTAAGAGGACGACGAGAAGTAAAGCATAAGTTAATGGCAGTTTTAAAGAGTTAGATTCTTTAGCGTGAAAATAGTACCATAAATACCATAGTAAGATGGTTTAGTTTGTGTTTTCCTCTTTGCCTTACAGCAACTCACCATGGCGCAAGTACATCGCTCTAGAATTCATTGTTTCGTTAGCCAATCAACTGCCAATTTAGGAGAGGTTGTTAGGAATAGTCGAAACAGACAAGTCCGGAATGAGTATTCATCACAAACTAATGGCAACGTGGGTGTCCGTTGACAAGTCACATTACAGCTAGTTTATAGTTTTATATCACAACAAACCTTAACTTTCGTCACATCTTTCCGCTTCTGCCCTCTCTTCAGACCTGAGATCAAGCGGTCCACTTGAGCATTAAATTTTAACAGAAAACACATAGTGAATTCTTATACAGAGTATTAGAAAAATAGCCTTGAGGAGTGAGGTTCATGTAGGCTACAAAGATAACGTCGAACACGGATGATTCTAAACGAGGAAATGAATGCTACGCTGTTTCTTAAAATATCTACTTCAGTAGACTCTGTATGTTGACCATATTAATATTGTATTCATTGCAATATGTTTACAGAGAAGAAGAGTATAAAATGTATATTATACATATGTGTGAAATTCAAATGATTAGGTGATTTCTTAATTGTTTTGTTTTAGCTGTGAGGATACAGTTGAAACAAAATATACAGCTTCGTTCATTTCTAGTTCATCAACTCAGTAAGTTATTCTAGATCACATAATTTCTTATTTCAGCAAAAAAGAAATGTTTCAGAAAAGTAAATTTTGATGTTAGTGTTCAGATAAAACGTTTTCTTTAACTCCCACTTATGTAATGTCCTGTATTCCGGTTGTGTAATGTAACGTGGTGAATTTCACTTTCATTACTTTTTCTTTAAGTTTAGGAAATTAATACATAAAACAGATAGTTCTTGTGCAAAAATTTTAAATATAATTAATAAAACAAGACATCGACGTTTTTTACTTGCACAATAATTTATTTGTAAAGTTTTAAGAATATAAATTAAAAGAAACGTTAAAAACTCCCATGTTTCGATGGAAATAATTCCACCATCTTCAGGAGAATAAATCACGAAGTACACGTGAAGTTTATTATAAACCTAATGTGTACTTGTATAGTTAGCATGTTTGAATATGTGTATGTACGTGTCTCAATCTTTCCTAACTGTAAATAATAAGCAGTTTTTGAATAACGTCTCACATTGACAAATCTTAAAAACATCAACTTTTTGACCATTTTAACTGATTCCAGCATAGGAGCGTTTGAGCTAGCGTATCATAAAAACTTTTGTCACATTTTTTGAACATTTCAATTTTTTTATGCCTTTGACGATAAATATTTGCATTTATCTCCTGTATGATGTACTGAACAATTCATATTTGCACATTATCAGCCATTTATCTCCTGCATAATCTACTGAATGATAAATATTCGCACATTATCAGTCATTTTTCTCGTGCACGGTCTACTGAATGATAAATATTTGCACATTATCATCCATTTATCTCGCGTATGACCTATTCGAGTCGTCGCCGAGAATAGAAATAATTTACTAATAGTTTAAATAATGGATTTTTATAATTTGAAGTTATTTCCTTGGAACAAATATTTCAATGTTTCTTGGATAAAATGTTTCAATTATTTATTTAGCGTTCTTCTAAAATCTTTTAACGGTTTCCGTTGATTTCATCCGAGGGATTGAACACCAGAAATGTCCTAATTATACAAATTTTAACTAATATTTTATATTTTTATGAAAGTGCCAATTGACCCTAAGACTAAGTTACAAATTCTCTATTGACTTTCGGTTAAAAGACTCACTTTTTCATTCGGTTTCTACGGGAATTTAAATAGCATATTCATAGTATGTCTTGCTTGATACAAAACCAGTGGTTTATTATATGTCAGTAAATACTTACTCAATGAGGTATTGAGTCGTTATATGGAGTCAGTTTACGCTACATACTAAAGACGTTACAAAAGTAGAGAACACGATTGTGATTAAGACTTGAACAAAACGAGGCAGCTCCAAGTTATCATTGTACCCCACTCTCTGCTGTAATTACAGGCAATCTCCTACCTTACAGGAGATGTACGATATGTTGATAACTGATCTGCTGAAAGGTTGGTACACATGATACCTCTGGTCTACAGACAGTACCTCGGTGTCCATTACGCATATGTCCATTATTATAGTGTGTGTAAAAGCTGGAATATTAAATTTCTATAATGTTGTGAAATACATCTTTTTTTTTTTTTTGGTCTGACATTCTCAAATGTTTATGAAAGACGGTTTCTTCTTAAGTTTACTTGTTGTTGTTTAAATTTAAGTATTCTACTTTTTAAGATTTCTTGACCTTGCAAAATGCTCATTCGTAAAAGTTAGGAGCGTTTTTAACATTCTCATGTCCTTGTCCAAATCTTAGTTTAGACAAAAAAGTAGCCCAATTATTAAAGGTTATATCCAGGCAGATTTCAAAAGTCAGTCTATCTATATATACATATAGTAACGAATAACTATGGAAACACAAGCGATACACAAGATACGAGTAAAAACAACGAATAATGGCATCTAGATGGGAAATATGTGAATGATGCAAATAATTATCATAGAAAACACAAAAGAAGAAAGAATAAGTTGTACAATGCTCTGGATTTTTGTACGCGATTCCTTATGTTTTTCACAGAATAATACACCTTGTTTTCATGCTGTTCAATAGTTTATCAGTGTGCAAGCCAATATATAGTTGTAAGTGTAACTTGGTTTTCATGTATTTGAAAAAATAAAACTAGCTATTTTTTTCACAATGTATGGTATTGCTTGTAATTTCGCGCCAAGTTACACGAGGGCTATCTGCGCTAGCCGTCTCTAATTTAGCAGTGTAATACTAGAGGGAAGACAGCTAGTCATCACCACCCACCGCCAACTCTTGG